ACGAATGCACCTGTGCACCATCACCTCAGTCCCCTGTGCTTCTCCCTTCCTCCCTCTGATCCCTCTCCTGCCTCCTCCCCTGCAGGATGTCTCTGATTTATAATTGTCTGTTTTTGCTTTGTTGTGCGTTGTACTGTTACTATTTTTTTACACTGATGCCTTATTTGGTTCCCCTATATTCCTGCTATAAGTGAAACCATCCAATAGTTTTCTTTTTCCTTCTGACTTATTTCACTGAGCATAATTCCTTCTAGTTCCATCCATGTTCCTGTGAATGGCATGATTTTATCTTTCTTGATTGCTGAATAATATTCCATCGTGTATATATACCACATCTTCTTGATCCGGTCATCTATTTTTGGGCATTTGGGTTGTTTCCAGGTTTTACCTATTGTAAATAGTGCTGCAATTAACATAGGGGTGCAGGTATTCTTTTGAATCCATGCTTTTGTGTCCCTTGAGTAGATACCTAGGAGCGGAATTGCTGGGTCATATGGTAGCTCCATTTTTAGTAGACTGAGGAACCTCCAGACAGCTTTCCATAGTGTTTGGACCAGATTGCACTCCACCAGCAATGTAGGAGAGTTCTAAAAACGTATACATTTTATTACAAGTGAAATCGAAAGCTATGGGGCAGTTTTAGACAAAGGAACCTCAATGACCCAATTTGAAGTTTTGGAAAATCATGTTTTTTGCTTCCAGAAAAAGGGATTTTAGATCAGAAAACCCAGTGTGTATGGCCATCCGTGTGTACATTTTGGAGGTTTAGATTGGGGTAATGACAGAGGGCAGTAGTCAGAGGGCAGATAGATTTAGTAAAAGTGCCTGCAAAATTTTCTGTGGATTAAATGTTAGAATAAAGTATTATTCCTAAGGTTTTGGATAAAAAATGGAGCAAATGATGATCCCATTGATCATGGCAGAGGTAAATGGATGAGAAGTTGATCAGGTAAAATTGATGTACTTCTTAGAACATGACACATGGGTAGGTGAACTACACTTCTGAAGGTCTGAGCAGGGAATTGTTATTATTAATGTAGATGTCATTGCTAGATTTCATTAAAGGCAAGAAGCTAGATGAGACCCAGAGAGAAAAGGCATGGTAGAGAAGGAGATCAGGTCACTGCAGCATTTGGAGTTTTAGCAGAAATAAATTTGGAAATAAAATTATTACTGTTGAAACTCTTTCATTATTTGTTAATGGCTGTAACCCTAGTGATTTATTGTAGTTATTCCATCCTCTCTCTGTATATAACCCAAAGTTAATAGATTTTTAAAATATATATAATTAGGTGCTCTGTTCTTAACTAAGTTTTCACCTCTATTTATTACCTTTTCATGGCAAAGACATTTTGTCTTCATAAATGGCAACACTAGAGCAATTTGTAGTAAGATGATGCTTGGAACCACATTTTAATTTTTTCCATGATCATATTCACTGACTCTACATTTTTTTCCAAAGGAAATAAAAATCCAGATATGGTTTCAAAATATGTTAAAATAGTCTTTCTCTGATATTCTAATGGGAAATAATTTCTAGATAAAATGGAATAACTTCCATATGAAACCAGAGAAATAATTATTATTCACAGAGTGGGTAGGCTCATATCTAATTTCAAGTTCCTGCATGGTATACAATAACTAAAATACCTTTTTATTTTTATAAACTTAGGAGACTGTAATCTCAAAGCAAAAAAAAATAAAAAATTCTCTCAGATGTGCAGAGAACAATGACAACAACCATAAAACTTACGCACACAACACAAATTTTTCATAAAAACAAAGGAGAGAGAACTGAATTGATGACCAAAGCATTCACGGGCTACAATGCAAGAAATTATGTTTGTTAATTAGGGGAAAACCATCAATCAGTGAATTTGGCTAGACCTCAAACATTTCATAGAGTGGGAAATGTAGTTCTCTTATAGAGAGACAAACTCTTATGGGAATTTATTTCCAAACAAAGAATCATTTCTAACTGCATGTGAGGCATATTTGTATTGAAGGGAATCCATTAAGCTTCCTTGTGAAGATCGAGTGGCATGTAAGATGACAAAAGAAAGGGCAAATATGTAACAAAAATTATCAACACTGGTGCAATGCATTTTTTTTTTAGCTAAGTCTCTCCATTTTAATTTATTTTTTATATATTTTTTACATCATTGTTCATTTTTAAACAATATTTGCTTCTCCCCACCCCATCAGGTGTGGTCCCCACAGAGTTTCACCAATGCACCCATGCACCATCACCTCCGTCCTCTATGTTCCTCCCTTCCTCCCTCATCCCTCTCCCTCCTCCTCCCCTGCAGTATGTCTCTGGTTTATAATTGTCCATTTTTTCTTTGTTGTGTTTAGTACTGTTATTACTTTTTTACACTGATGTCTTATTTGGTTCCCCTATATTCCTGCTATAAGTGAAACCATCCAATAGTTTTCCTTTTCCTACTGGCTCATTTCCTGAGCATCATTCCTTCTAGCTCCATCCACGTTGCTGTGAATGGCATGAGTTTATCTTTTTTGATTGATGAATAATATTCCGTTGTGTATATGTGCCACATCTTCTCGATCCAGTCATCTATTTTTGGGCATTTGGGTTGTTTCCAGGTTTTACCAATTGTAAATAGTGCTGCAATAAACATAGGTATACAGGTGTTCTTTTGAATACATGTTTTTGTGTCCTTTGAGTAGATTCCCTAGTACTCATAGTAGTGGAATTGCCAGGTCATATGGTAGCTCCATTTTTAGTAGACTGAGGAAACTCCAGACAGCTTTCCATAGTGTTTGGACCAGTTTGCACTCCCACCAGCAATGTAGGGGTGTTCCTTTTTCACCAAATCCTTGTCAGCATTTGTTGTTGCTTGTTTTTTTGATATGTGCCATTTTTACTGGTGTAAGGTGGTATCTCAATGTAGTTGTAATTTGCATTTCCCTGATTATAAGGCATGTTGAACATTTTTTCATATGCCTGTTGACCATTTGCATTTCCTCTTTGGAGAAATGTCTTTTATGTTATTCTGCCCATTTCTAGTCCTGTGAGTTCTTTGTATATCTTTGTGATCAGTCCCTTATCAGTTAACTAGAGTGCAAAGACTTTTCCCTAAGCAGTGGGGTGTCTCTCTGTTTTGGTTAATGGCTGTTTTGCTGTGCAGAAGCTTTTCTGTTTGATGTAATCCCAGGTGTTTATCCTTTCCTTGCCTTTCTTTACTTTGGGTGATGAGTCTTTAAAGATGTTATGTGATGCATGTCTTATAGTGTTTTACCTATATTTTCTTCTATATATTTTATGGTTTCAGGTCTTATGTCCAGTTCTTTTATCCATTTTGAGTTGATTTTTGTGCATGGTGAGAGGTTGTGGTCTAGTTTCATTAATTTGCATATGGAGATCCAGTTTTCCCAGCACCATTTATTGAACAAACTGTTTGTGTTCCATTGCATATTCTTTGCTCTTTTGTCAAAGATCCGTTGTCCATGTAAGTGTGGTTTTATTTCTGGGCCCATATTTGTGTGTCTGTTTTTGTTCCAATACCAAACTGTTTTAATTATTATGGCTTTGTAGTATAGCTTGAAACTTAGAAGTATGATACCTCCTTTCTCCTTTGTTTTCATCAGTAGGGCTTTGGCTATTTGTGTTTTTTTGTGATTCCCTATGAATTTCATCAGTATTTGTTCTATTTCTTTGAAGAATGTCATTGAGATTTTTATTGGAATAGCATTGAATTTGCATATTGCTTTTGGTAGGATGGACATTTTAATAATGTTAATCCTTCCAATCCATGAGCGGGGGATGTCTTTCCATTTCTTTGTGTCTTCTTCAGTTTCTTTTAACAGTGTTTTATAATTATCTTTTATAGGTCTTTCACCTCTTTTGTTAGGTTTATTCCCAAGTATTTGATTTTTTTTGGTTTCAACTATAAAAGGGATGGTTTTCTTGATTTCTTCTTCAGATTGATTGTTTGTGTATAGGAAGGCTACTAATTTTTTATTTATTTTGTATCCTGCTACTTTACTGAACTGGTTGATTATTTTGAGTAGTTTTTCTGTGGAGTTTTTAGGGTTCTCTATGTATATTATCATATCATCTGCAAATAGTGATAGTTTTACTTCTTCTTTCCCTATCTGGATTTCTTGTATGTCTTTCTCTTGTATTAGGCAATGTAATTTTCTAACAATAGTTTAGGATCCGAGTTCAGTGTCTTTAGAATTCATATGAAGGAGAATACTTGTTATTTGTTGCCTCTCAGGGAGGCATTGTTGGGGGCTGTGCAGGAAAGACAACTCATAGTCTAAATAGAGAGAGGGAGACATGGAGGGGCTCACACCTCAGGGAGCACAGCACCTTTTCCCAGGGCAGTCTCACAGGTTCAGGGAAGGTAGGAAAGAAAATGTGTGGTGGGGATGTGTATTGGGGATGCATAAATGTCTGGCATAAGCTGGGGGTAGTGAATAGGGACTGTTGCCTGGGGGACTTCATTGTTCCCACTGATCAAAACATCCTATCTTTAGTTCCTGTTTACACTTAACTTTCTGTCATGGTAGTCTAGCTGGTTATGCTAATCTGACCATAATGTCTGCCTGTTGTATTCAGCAGATACTGGTTTTCCAGTATGCTCCTCATACCAGACTTTTGTTCTAGAGAGAGGCCCCCTTGCCTGACTCTATGATTTAGCTTTACCAGCAGGAACTCTGGGTACCCGGACAATATCCTAACAACAAGGGGGATTGGGGAATCCACAGTTATTAAAGTGGTGAATAGTATAGTTCAATTAAATGATGGTTTATAGGTCTGTCATCTCAACAAAGTCTTTCTTCATCCTTTGTTAACCAGGCAACTAATTCTTAAATTTTGTTCATCTTCTGACATAATGACTCAGTAAGTCCAGCCATGGGTAGGAATGATATGGTATAATTTTGGAGTGGAATTCCATAGCCGAAGTCTCTTCATTGAGAGCCATTGGGAAGTTCTATACACTCTGTTGATGCCACTAATTGCTGTATTTTAGGTCCTCAGTTTATTATGGAAAGACCAGCTGGGAGTTCCAGCCATGGCCTCTAGCGCTTCTATGTGAACTTCCAACAAACCCAATAAACCCTTCAAGTTGTGAAGGATGCAAACAAAATCCAGTTTATTTGTATCTCATCACAAACCTCTGAGGTTGACTTGAAGTCAGACAAGGTTAGTAATTTTCTGAATGTTTATTTATTTTCCTATTTTCTTAAGCACTTGCTATACAGTGAAACTACCTCCTAGGAACAGAATGTTCTCCATAGCTGAAAACCAACCTAGCTAAGCAAATACTCATGTCACCAATTACAATTTTTAAACGTCTCAGAAAACATTCTTTGAAGTAATCCTTCCTCAAATCCTGTTTTGAAACTGGATTTATATGATGCGTAAGTGGGTAAACATCTTATGAAATTAAATGGATGAAGGGGGAAATGAATTTTGTCATGCATAAAGTTGTTATCTTTAAAAGAATGCTTATGAGAAAGTTCTCTTCAAAACATTGTGACATCCAGATGGAGGATTGTTAAACTAAATACTTTGTAGTTCATGGCAGGAAAGGTGAAGATTCATGAGAACTAAGTTTAAATGAAGAGGAAGCTGAAACAGACCAGCGTATAAAAAAATGTACTGTAGCTAAAAACCAAAACTTTTATGATTTTTTCTAGCCCTTCTTTCCACTTCTTTTTACCTCAGATTTCCTAAATTCCTTCATTCTAAGGACTATGTCTCATACTAATTCTGCGTTCTATTACGCAACTTAATACTCAATCACTGTTTTTTGAATGAAGAATAATTGTCATTATAAACTAAATATAAATTACTTCCAGTTACATGCAATCTATTATCAAAAACAATATATGTCATACAGCTGTTCCAGGAGATAGTGCAATAACTGGATCCCTGGCTGAGGTGCTAAGACCAGCAGAATGAGCATCATCTTGCTCACAGCCATCTCCTGTGCCTTGCATTACACCTCCCAGCAAGCTTTGAACTGGATTCCCTGAACAAGGGGACTACTGGGAACCAGGAGTGATGCTGAGTGGCTGTTGATGTCATTTTTGGAGTTGATGGGCTTGGAGAACAGGGTCCTTGGGTTCACTCTGGGAAAGGTTTCACCAGAGCTCCCCTTTCAGTGGCATGTGGCAAGTTTCCCAGGTGAGTTTCTCCATGAGACAGAGACATTAGTTGTATTTAAAAGACCGGGCGTATTAGGGTAAGGGACAGAAGAATAAAGGACACTTGGATAGACACAAGCAGGCAGAAAGAGCTGCCCCTTTGTGGGGGCAGCATTAGATTTTATCATCTTGTTTTGTCAGGGAGGGGCTTATCTTGGTGGTTGGTTTGTTGTAGAATTTGAAAAGCACCAGGAGATTCTACAATGGGCTCAATCTGTGTATCTTTAAATTCGGGTCTGCCCTCCTGACACCCCTTCTAGCTGTTTGATACCTGCTTGGATCTTATGCTTTGTGATCTAGGCATTGGTGCCTAAGGATCTTGGTTTCCACCCCCTCCTCTTTGTGTGAGTCAGGTTCTAGTCTTGTCGTTCCTCCTTTAAGTTTTCTATTCTTTTCCTCTGTTAGCTACGATAGATTTATTTTTTTTAAGATTTATTTATTTATGCATACAAGAATTGGGGTACAGGCCAGAGGTGTGGGGATGGGGGTGGTGAGAGGATTCACCAGAGATAGAGTAGGAAACAGAACAGGCAGTCTGACTGACATACACTGTTGAGGGGAGCAGCGGGCGAGGCAGGAGAGGTCTGCTGCGCCATGTGGGTAGCTTCCTGGCGAGCTGGGGATTGCACTCGTGCCTCAGAGGCTGTGGATTGCTTCATGGTGCTGTGTCTTAACCCCTTGCACCACCAGGGAGGCCCCTGTGATGTATTTAAATGTATTTAAATGATGACATGGATGTTCCGTCTCTTTTCTAGCTAGAGCGCTTTGGCAGGCTGGATCCTGGCAGCCACTGTCTTGACCCCATGGTGAATTCAGCTTTGGTGGCACATTTGGTTGCTCCTTCTCTCCCAGCCCTCTGGGCCTTTCCCTCACTCTTGCTTAAGTTTCCTACCAAGAGGTGCCTTGGATTTATTTTCTGGTGGCTTTGCCATTGGGCCTTGGCCATCCCTCTTTGGGCCCTGACTATTTGGGTGAACTTTGGCCCATGAGGGTTTGGGTTATTTCACAGTTTGATATGGAGTCTGCATTTGGAAATCCTTCTCCCTCCATCCTTTTTTTTTCCCCCTCTCTGTATTCCCTTTGAAGCTCTCACTGATTAAAAATCTTTGAGCATGGATCAAAAATCTTTAGGCACACTAGAGTTTGATTATTTTTATTTGTGTGGGTGGGTTGAACCCTTAGATGGGAAACATGGGTTTTTGACTGAATTACTGCTCAATAAAGACCAAATGCAGAGGGTACTCAAAGTTTGCATTTTTATATAGATGGGATGATTACTTATCAAATAGGATTATTTTTTTATATATTAAACAAACATTGCATTTTCTGAGGACAGATTGTTTCTTAATTTCAATCTACTCAATGCAATGAAGAATGGCATCATTGTTTTCTTTGAGGTTCTAAATAACTTTTGAGATTTATGCCAATTTGAGTAATTTTATCTTATTTGTTCTTGCTTAAAATTTTAATACATGATTTTCTCTTGTTTTGAGATAACTGTTATATAAGTATAAAATTTCGGTTGATGCATGGTTATTTACTTCAATGATATAAACATGATAAATGTTTATGAAGAAAGCCTAAACAGTCATATGTATTTAGTCTAAGAACAAAATGAAAATTGAGACAACAATTTATTGGCAAAACATTTGCTTCGTCTAAACTTTATGTAAAATAAGCCACAACTTCATTTTTATTCCTTCAATGTTCAAGCACAGGAAACTTCATGGGAACCTATAACAAAAATTGCTGAAGTATATATTTGGAAAAATCAACAATATAGGAATCTGGAATGCCAAAAGAAAAACAAAAACAGTTTTATGACTACTCTCTATAACAGAACAATTTCTAGAGTAGACAATGCAGAGAAGTATTAATGAGAATACAACCAAAGCAAAGGACAGATTTAACAAGCTGGGCAGTGCCCTAGAACAAGACACAACTCCATTTAATTTTGCAAATCTGCTCAGAGTTAGATGCTGATTAAATCCACCCTGCTTTTACAGTTTTAGATGCTAGGAGAGAGATTATTCAAGATGATTTAGAGAACCTGCAAGGCAGAATAATATCCTCAAATGTCACCCAATCTAGTGGATAATTAATTTGATAACTGAATTGATTTGACAACTCATGCTTTTAAATAAACAATAGCAGCAACATCAAAACAAATATTTTTTAAGCTAAAAAGACCAAACTGAAAAAAATCTTTTTACATAATTACCATGATACATTACGTATTTGGGGAGACTTTTCTTCTACAACAACAATAATAAACAACATCTTAGATCCAAAGAGTTTCCTTATTTCTTACTCAGTCTCCAAATTGAAAGTTAAACCATAATGTCTTTATTTTTTTTACAATGCATGAAAATGAAAATCCAGTGCATATTTAATTTTTGAGAGCATTATAAAGAACAACTGATTCCAAATGCTCTGTCCCCTGCCATTTCTTTCTCCCAAGGGTGTTAGAGAGGCACATTCAACATGCTGCAGATTATTACTTTATCTATAAAGACTTGTCCCATGGGTGTGAGGCGGAGGGAGTAATTGTTGAAGTCGGGAATGGTCTGTGTCCCACCCTTCTGATTAACTCAAACAAGAAGGGATGTGGCAACAGCAGATCCTGGAAAACTCAAACTTGAGATAGAAACCGTGTTCTTGTTTTTCTCAACAGATTCTGCTAGAACAGTGCCAAATCATAATGCAATTTGGTCAAAAGACCAGGAAAGCAGAGTAAGAAACAGCAGCAAAATGGAGAAAAATCTTATTTCTTAAATCATTTTTAAAATTTTAGAAGTATTCTTGGAGTGTCACAAGTGACTTTCTTATTAAGATTTTTGTTTGATTTGTATCTTTTTCTATAGAAATATTTAAAGTTTATTTATTTGTAATTAAAACTTAAGTGATAATTTTAATGAATCATTTAAAAGGCAAGTGAACAAGTAAGATGTTACAAATATCTGAAGACACTGAAAATCAGAAGCAGGTTTTTAGAACAATGATCATGTTGAGACTATGAAATAAACATATATATATATATATAACCAGAAGAGACTTTTCCATGTATAAATATATTTGTGAAAGATACCATAGTAACTAAAAATAAAGTTTTGCCAGTTTGTTTTCACTGCTAGTATTAATTTTCTTAAAGATTTATTTATTCACACATACAAGAGGTGGGGTGCAGGCCCAAGATACATTGGGGGTGAGAGGATTCACCTGAGATAGAATGAGGAGCAGAACAGGCGGAGCAACTGAAATACACTGTTGAGGGGAGCAGCAGGCAGACAAGAGAGGTCTGCTGCGCCATGTGGGTCAACTACTTGGCCGGGGATTGAACTCGTGCTGCGGTGACTGCAGATAACTTCATAGTGCTGTGTCTTAACTTCTTGCACATCCAGAGAGGCCCATGTTGGGGATATTTCTTATTCGAGATCTCTGCCTTTTTTTTTCCTGATTAAGTCAAACCAGCTATTAAAAGTGAGAGATGATGGCTTTATATTAGAGGGCTTTATAAGCTTGCTAAAGGGTATGATTTAAGTTTTGCAAAAATAACTTGCCAAGAAATATTGAAGAAACAGCTGAGGTTGAATAATAAACTGAAATGATGCCAATCAACGAACTGATGAACCATTTCCAAAAAATGTTCTGCTTCAAAGAAATCAGTAAAAAAAAAAAAAATCTGTGAGACTGATCAATGTTTGAGGATTTAAAGGGACAGGTGTGACTATGGAATAAGATGGACAAAAATCAGATCCCAGGCTATTGTGTAGGTAAAATGATAAGTTCAGTCATGAGTATCAAGAAGAGAATTAACGAGAGTGGAAAAACCAAGAGAAAGAAATGGAGT